AGATGCTAAGTAACTAACCTTTATGCTTTCACTTCCTCAACAATTAGCGACGATAATGACAATAATAATACTTGCTTCATAATGTTTTTATAAGGGTGAAGTAAATACCAGAACACGTAAAGCGCTCAGAACAGTACCTTGCATGAAGTAATCACTTATTGCTAGCTATTATTACCATTGGTACGAGTTAATGTTAGCTTTAATCTTACAGAAGTACTTGAGATACAAGTGTTCTTTTTATTAGTATATGTCTCAGTACATAATGATTACATTCCTTGCCAGGAGTTGGTACATGTGCATAACACGTCTTAATTTTTTTTACTTCCCCTTTTTTCTCCTCCCTCTACCCTTCCTTCATCTCTTGGTCCCCTTCCCATTTGCAAAAGATCTATCTCCCTATTAACATTACTTCAGTGTGCTGAAGTAATTCATTCAACAGATGTAATTGATGACTTTATGTCACACACACACACATGCGTGCATGCGCACGCGCATGTTAGACAACAGCTTGCAGGGGGAAGGATGAATAAGACACATGCTTCTTAGTCATTTTCTCATTGAGCCACAATACCTGAGGCCCACAACTAAAGGAAGAGAGTTTTATTGTGGCTCACAGTTTCAACCCATGGCCAGCAGGTGCCAAGGCAGAAACAGCATGGTGGAAGGGCCTGGGGGGTGAAAAGCTGCTCATACTTTGGCAGCCAGGCAGCAGAGAGCAGGAGCTGGCGAAGGAGATGCACCCTTCCGGGTCATACTCTGATGAACTGCCCTTGCTGGCCGGGCCCCACCTCCTAACAGCACATGCAGGTGCAGATCCATCAAGGGATGAGTCCACTGATGCACATAGCACTACCATGGCCCAGTCACCTTCTAACAGCCCCACCTCTGAACACATGGGGCTTTTGGAGGGCATTCTAGAGACACACCATAGCAGTATTGTACCTTCTTGTGATGCTTACACCCTCGTCAGGTTACGGATAAGTAGTACAAATGTAGGTTGCTGAGTACTACTTACAAAAAAACTGAACATGGTCATGTACTTGGTCCTATTCTTTCGTTTTTCTTTGTATTAAATTTCATATCCTAAAATAATTTTTAGTTTCAGTAAAAGTAGAAATACTCTGTTGTTAAGTGTCAGCATTATTGATTAACATAGTATTTTTTAAGTAACTGCCTACTACCTATGGTCGCTTTTAATAAAGAATCAACAAAGGGCCAGCCAGGGATGTAGCTCAGTGGCACACGAGGTGGTGAGTTCAATCTCCGGTACAAAAAAATCCCCCAAAACCCTCAAAATATTAATGAGTCCTAACTATAATATAGCAGTATATTTGAATATACTGGTATGACATAGAAAACCTCTGAAATTTTTACCCTGAAATCCAAGAGCAGTAATCTTCATTGCTAAAGTATAGCTGAATGAAACATAGTTGAAAATAGCCTTAAGCGCTGAGCATGGTGATGCATGCCTATAATTCCTCCACTTGGGAGACTGAGGCAGGAGAATCACCATGAGTCTGAGGCCAACCTGAAAGACGTAGTGAAGCCCTGTCTCAAAAACTAAAAAAGTAGCCTCAAGCTTTTAGATACATTTCTAACATACTATCTCTTTTTTCCTAAGATGCTACTTAAATGGCTAGCCTTTATGTAAAAGCCAAGTTATAATACACAAAAGCACTTTGAAGAAGAA